TTAATTCGCTAACAAGTCTGTGAACAAATGACATATCTAATGCCGATATCAGGCGGACGTTCAACCCTTTTCTGAACCCAGAGATGCTCCTTTCAAAATCAAGCTGAAGATTTGTAATTTGTATGCATAAAAAACAGAGCCTTTTGTCACTGATCCGTTGAAGGAATTCCTTGAATTTGTGCCTAATACTTTTTTTAGTCTTCCTCCTTTTGTTGAACAAATGCACAAATTCCAAATGGAAACTTCAGAGCTGTTGAAATATGAATAGTTTTTAATTAACAAACACAGTTTGAAAATAGTCTTTCAATTATTTGCTTTAAAAGTTGTTGTGTGATATATATTCATGTCTCCTCCACGCTCTGTTGCCATCCTGTAATGGAGAATGGCTTTGTTCACCTTCCATAAAGCTTAGATTTTAATTATCGTTGTCCTGTGGACAGAGTTTTGTTTCTCTCACTAATTCTCTCCTTTCCAGACCCTCTGTCAGTGTATTCTCATTATCAGTTCGTACGAAATCGTACGAAAAGTTATGCACAGACAGTAATCTCGTACGTTTTTGACGTTTTTCCCAGAAAATACAGATCAGTGCGCATGCGCAGGCAGACAGACGAAAAAAGCAGAATGAGAATATGTTGTATGTTATGTTTTAGTGATTTCCTATCTGCTCCCCAGTCACTGCCAGCCAAACATCTCAAAATATTCAAGATTTTCTTACATTTATCAACAACTTTTTGTATATGTATATGCCATTTTAATTTTTCATCAAACCATAAGCCTAAAAATTTTATACACTTTACCTGCTCTAACTCTTGTTTATATAATTTTAATTTTATTTCCTTGTTTATTTTTTTCTGAGTAAATATCATTACTTTCGTTTTATCAACTGAGAATTTAAATCACCATTGCAACGCCCATTTCTCTATTTCAATAATAATCTTTTTTAATTTTTTAACAATAAAATCAACATTTTTCCCTCGTTTCCAAACAGCTCCATCATCTGCAAATAGTGAACTTAACGATGGATCCCAGCTGGAACCCGTCCGTCGGATGAGGCGCCCACACCGGCTTCCCGTCCTCCATGTTGGCGCCCTGGCTCTCCTGAACAGATCCCGATCCCACTCCTGCAGCGATCCTGGGAAACCCAGCAACAACTCAATAAACATGCATCCTTTTATATGCTCCTGTTTATTAAAGTCCGACTCTATTTGATGGGTAACTTCTTGTAGTCAAAGTCACATCTCAAGAGCAAATCATTTTTTCCACCTACACTTTGAATAAACAGAGTTGGGAATCACAAACCAAATGGATTCTAAACATT